CCACTTCTGTACCCAGAGCGCGGTCAGAGCCTGGGGAGGGGGTGGATGCCCCAGGGCTGTTGGGGTTTCAGAGGTGTTTGGGCAGCGCCCGTAACACCATGGGTCAACTTTTGGTCAGCCTGGAGTGGCCGGGCAGCTGGACCAGGTGGCGTAGGTCCCTTCCAGCTGGACTGTCCTCTATTCTAGTCTGTATTCTAGGTTACTCCTGCTTCAACTTCTAATGTAAAGAAGGGTCATGTTGTGTTCGTTCAGTGTTGTTTTTCCCAGGGAACTTCTGTAGTGCAAAGTGGGCAATGGCTGTGAAAGTTCAGAGCAGCCCTTTACAATTAAATGCTGCTGTGACACTTTTAGCTAAGGACCTGTTTTAACTAGAGAGAGAACGTGGAGCTGCCCCAGAGCTCTGTGCTTTGTGGAACGTTGAACGAATGGCGCCGTGGCGGTGCTGTGATACCCCCGAAGGGTGAATCTGCTGGGAAATGGGGTAACCGTGGTGTCCCATGGGATACCCGCTTTCTGTTGAACCTCTGCAGGAGAAGGCTTCACAGAGTCACAGAATGTGAGGAGTTGAAGGGCCCTGGAGAGCTCCCCCAGAGCAGGATCACCAGAGCAGTCGCACAGGAACACCTCAGGGCTTTGGGTGTCTCCAGACAAGGAGACTCCACAACCTCTCTGGGCAGCCTGGGCCATGCTCTGCCACCCTGACACTCACAAACTTTGTCCTCATCTTCAGCTTGAACCTCCTGTGCTCCAGCTTGGGACCATTGCCCCTTGTCCTGCCATTGGCCATCCCAGAGCAGAGCCTGGCTCCTTCCTCCTGACACTGCCCTTTCCAAATGGATCCCCAGGAATGAGGGCACCCCTCAGTGTCCTCTGCTCCAAGCTCAAGAGCCCCAGCTCCCTCAACCTCAGTGCTCCACTCTGTCATCTCTGTGGCCCTGCTGGACTCTCAAGCAAAGGCTCAGCGTCCCTTTGAGCTGTGTGACCAACGCGGGTGTTTTCAGGCGTCCCTCTCCATCCCCCCGTGACAATCTGCGTCCTTGTGCCCTGCGTCCATCACAGGTGTGGGTGTCCCAGGCTGTGCTGCTGGGTCCTTCTGCAGCTCTAACCCTGAGGTTGCTCTCCTGACGCGCAGAGGTGAGGCCTGAGCCCCTGCAAGGCCCTGAGGACAAACCCGTGACAGGGAGCCCTGTCCATGGCAGGGGAAGGACCCGCAGCCAGGTCAGGGCAGGCGATGGCTCCCAGGACCCTCCATTGGTCCCCGCTGGGTTTTCTCCCCGACAAAAGCCCTTTTCCTGCCGTCCCCGTCTTGCACTCCCTTTGCTTCTCTCAGTCGGCACGCGTGCATAGTTTATTTTTCTTGGGCTGTGCGAGTATCTGCAGAGGTATCTGCCGTGCCTCCTAGGAGCAGAAACGCCTGGATCGGGACGGGTGGCAGCGACACGCGTGCGGTTCATTTTTAGACTCCTGCCACGGGCTGGTGTTAAACCCGAAACCGAGAGCTTGGCCTCCGCACCCCAGAGCTGCACAGATCAAACAGGAGGGCACCCCAAATATAAACGGAGGAGAACTCGTGCTCTGCTGCAGAGTTGTCTTAGTTTTCAGTGCGGTTTTGCTGTGCTGGGCTTGGCGAGTGCTGCTGAGACACGGTCCTGTGTTTGCCGGTGTTTAACAGCTCGCTGTTGATCCCGGTTCTTCTGTACCTTTTCTGGGTAGGAAAACACCGTGTGAGCGTGTGAGCCAGGGCTTTATTGTAAATACTTCGTTAACGTCTTTGTAACGCGCTGAGGAAGGAACCCGTTTAGCGCTGCTGGGGGGGTTTGTGTGGTATCGGGGCTGTGGGGACGAGCACGTCTGTCACGGCCAGAGGGGGAAAGGGCCGAGCAGACGTGGGCACCCGGGGCTTCCTCTGCTGTGGGGTGCGTGGGAAGCGCTCGCCAAGCTCCCTGCGTTCCTGGTACTGCGGGGATGGGAAACCCAGCGCTGAACAGAGACGGGAGGTAACGGGAGGGAGAGCACTGCTCTGTGCCTGGACTCCACAGCCCTAACCCGTGGTGCGCCAGGGGTGGCCAGGAGAGCCCTGTGCCTTCCTGCAGTCATAGAATCATTGAATCCCAGCGTGGTTTGGGTTGAAGGGACCTCACAGCCCCCCCAGTCCAACCCCCATGGGCAGGGACACCTCCACCAGCCCAGGCTGCTCCAAGCCCCGGCCAACCTGGCCTTGGGCACTGCCAGGGAGGGGGCACCCACAGCTGCTCTGGGCAGCCTGGGCCAGGGCCTCACCACCTCACAACCACGAGTTTCTGCCCAATATCCAGTCTAAATCTCCCCTCTTCCAGTCTAAGCCCATTGCCCCTTGTTCTATTGCTATCTGCCCTGGTAAAAGGTCCCTCCCCAGCTTTCCTTGTCCTTGCCTTCACTCCCCTGACAGGATCCTGCCCAGCGCTGGTCCGCTCCATCCCTGCGGGTGGCGGACGTTGAGCTTTTCCTACCGATCCCAGCATCTCTGGGTGATTTCTGGGCTGGCCAAGAGCTGATGTGCGAGTTCTGGAGATGGATCTCCTGTGTGCGTGTCCCTGCACACAGTGGTTGCTGTGTTACCAGCTCTGGTTTTCCTGTCTCCTATTTCCAGTGCCAGGCAGGCGAGATGAGAGGTGCAGCCTTCGTGGCCTCCTCGGCCGTGGTGTGCAGGCCAGGACGGTGATGAAGGTCCATGGGGTCCGGTGCAGCGCTTGGAGCCGTGTTTGGGGCTGTTCCTGGTGTTCAGCATTCGGTCTCGCTGTTCTGCGTTGTGTTGCTGGAAGCTCGGGACATTGGCGCAGGCAGCACCACTGCCGTTGCTCTGCTCCTCTTTCTCCTGTCAGCCCCTGCTGCCGTTCGGGTGGGTGCTTCCCAGCCGCTGGGGGGTCCTTGGTGGCCGATGGCACAGCCAGGTATTGGTGCTGGGGCTGACGGACACTCTTGATCCACACTGGTGCTGTCAGATGCTAAGGAAGGAGCTGTGGTTTGTGAGGAGCTGAACCCAGAAACACGTGGAATGCAATGAAGTGAAATGCTGGGTCTGCTGCCTCTTTATTTTACCTCTCTGTGGTCTGTTTCTCAAATTGTTCTTCACCTGGAGCCGGTCGATGGTTTCGCAGCCCTGGATTTACGTTTCTTATGGAGATGGAGCGCAGGACTCCCTGGGAGAAGATGCCAACGGGCTTTGGGTTCGGTGGTGCTTGGGGCTGATCTCTGAGCCGCGGTTGTGGCTGGAGGCACTGCCTGAGGTGGGGAGCGATGCGCCCCGGTCTGTCTTGTCCCACCACACACGGGGTTTCTGTGGGTGGGAGGGGAGGTGTTGTCCCTTGGAAAGGGGGGTTTGAGGTGCTCTGAGCTCTGGGTTCTTCTGGAGATCCCAGTGCAAGCGAGCGCTGGGGGAGCTGCCAGCGCTGCCAGGGCCTGGCAAGGGACCCGCTGTGTTCCAACCGGGCAGAAAACCAACGCGTGCTGCCGCTGTGGTTGTCCATTGGGAAGAGGCTCCACACAGGAGCCTGTGCAGCCTTTCTGACTGGCTCACGGGGCCCTCCTGGCAGGAGCCAACCCTTGGGGCGTCTGAGCTGATGAGGGGCACCGCAGGGTGCAGGGTGGCCGAGCCTTCGGGCCGGTTGTCTGCAGACAGCCGTGCTCTGGGTTGTTGTCTGTGGTGGGGAGCTGGTGTGGGGTCACTCTGTGCTGCTTTCAAGGTGTCTGGGAGTGCTCTGTGTGGGAGGAAGGAACACAAACACGTCTTTGGATGCTGCTACCTGAGGAAGAACAGCATTACAGCATCCTCGCTGCTGGAGCGTTCGTCCTGTGCCGACGCAGGTCGCAGCCTCGCGTCCTTCAGCCCCTGCCTTCTCCCACCAGGCTCTGTCAGGTCCCTTCTCCTCCCCTGGCTGCTCTGGTGATGAGCTCTGGAGGTGTGGCTGCACTTGTGCTGGTTAACCCTTGTATTCACTGCCTACAGGAGTTACTGCCGCAGTTTCGGCTGGGTGATCGGTTCCTGGGTCTGTTCCCAGCTCACAGCTTTCCCCTTCTTTCTCGCTGTGTGGATCCTCTCTGCAGTTTTGTGTCTCCTGTCAGAAAATTCCTCCAGAAAGCTGTGGCTGTGTTCGAGACTTTCTTGTTCCCCTTTTGTGTGGTCGGGGTTTTTTTTTGGTGGTTAAATGAGCTGTGGATATCAGAACAAGAATCTAAAGTGTTGTTGCCAAAAGGCAGCTCTTACTACAAAACAGCCTTTGTGCAAGGGAAGTTGTCCCTCGGATGTGCCCAGGCCTTGCTGCTTACGTGCCCCGCAGCGTGCTCGGGTTCGGGTCCGTCCCGTTCCCGTATGTGCACAGTCCTGTCCTGGAATGCTCCTTTAATGACGGGTTGGTGAGCATGGCTCATAACCCTCATGAAGGCTGCGAGGTGACGACCTGGTCTCGCAGGCCGGGAGCTCACGCCCGTCTCCGTCCCACACAGGTGAATCAGCGCAATGTGCCCGGCATCGACAGCGCGTACCTGGCCATGGACACGGAGGAGGGCGTGGAGGTGGTCTGGAACGAGGTGCAGTTCTCGGAGAGGAAGAACTTCAAGCTTCAGGAAGTGAGTTGCCGTGTTTCCCACAGGAGGTGGCGCAGGGTGGGTTGGCAGGCGCTGGTGACCTTTCGTGGGGGTGACTGGCTGGGTTTGGGGGCTGTGCTGCTCACGCGTAGCGAATTCGGCTTCGGCCTGGGCAGAAAACGTGAGTGAGAACTGTTTCCATGGGCTCTCGTGTTGGTTTGGTCTTGGTGGTCAAACCACGCTCAGCCACGGTGCCGTGTAGGATGAACTCGGATGCTGTTTGCTCCTGGCATGGCAGCTTGAAGCGTGCGGTGGTGTTTAAGGGGACCGAGTCAAGAAGAAAGTAAGGCAAGGGCTGCTGTGGTCGCTGGGGTAACACAGCTTTGTCTTTCTGGTGTCAAGGAGAAGGTGAAAGCGGTGTTTGACAACCTAATCCAGCTGGAGCACCTGAACATTGTGAAGTTCCACAAATACTGGGCCGACGTGAAGGAGAACAAGGCCAGGGTAAGGGAAGCCAAGGGGCTGTTGGGTTTTCTCACTGCGCGTCCTGTGGGCGGTCGGTGGAGCAGAGGCTGATGTCTCCTGTGTCCCTGCAGGTGATCTTCATCACGGAGTACATGTCTTCAGGGAGCTTGAAGCAGTTCCTGAAGAAGACAAAGAAAAACCACAAAACCATGAATGAGAAGGTAACTCTTCTGTCCGCGTGCGCCCGCGTTCACTCAGCGCCATCGGCCTCTGGAAGCCCTCTCAGCAGAGGGTGCTGACGAGAAGGCAGCCTGGTGATAACACAGGGCTGTGACTGCTTTGCAGTGCTGTAAAGCAGCTCAATTTTGGGTCTCTTGGGCAGTTCTGGGCCCGTTGTGTTGTTCCCAGCAGGTCTGCAGCTGATGGGGACGTCTCTGTCCGTGCGCACAGGACAGGGGGAGGGCGTCTGTGCAGGGGCGTTGGGAGGGGGTGTTCTAGACCCATACGAATGGGTCGAAACTAAGCTGAGCCTCTAAGTGCTCAATTCCCACACACCCACATGGGTAAAAGCTCAGGTGCCACAGAATGGAGCATAGACCCCTTCGTACAAACAGGCTGTGAGTTACAGAGCTGGGGATTAGTTCCTCTTCCCTGAGTGGTTTTTCTCTTTTCTCCTGTGTCTGCAGGCCTGGAAGCGATGGTGTACCCAGATCCTCTCTGCTCTGAGGTACGTGGTTACTGATCTAGCCCTAGGCGTAGCCTTTCTCGTGCTGGAATATTAAAACTGCAAACGCAGGTGCTGCCAGACGTCAGCAGCCTCACAGCATAGAGCCTGGAGAGCAGTCAGTCCCCAGCCCCGTCCTTACCCCAGTCATGGGCTGCAGCGTCAGCCCCAGAGTCCAGTGAGACAACACTGAACCCTCTCAAACAGAGACACAGCTCCAGGGCAGGCTTTGTGACTGATACAACGGTGATGGTGGGAGCTGAGCACCAGGGAGCTCTGAGTGTTCAGCTTTACAGCCTGGATGCAGCCGTGGCCAGGAGGGTGGTGCAGGGAAGTCTCAAAGAAATCAATTTCCACAGCAGAGAGAGAGGAAGACTTTGGTTGTAGCATACTGCAGCATGCAGTGGATCCACAGTTACTGTGTGGTACTGCTAGGGGTGGACGTGGGTCTGTGCCTTGGTGGTGCAGGTTGCAGCCGTCTGAGCTGAAGAGAATGTGGGGTTTTTTGGTTTGGTTTTAAAGACTCTTCTCCACCTGAGCCGCAGTTGGTGTGTAGCCATAACAGCCTTGGAAAAGCAATAACCTGGGTGTCAGAGCTCGGTGCCCACTCCATAGAGAGGGTGGCTCTCTGGTCCCTGTACGGCACTGGGTGCCTCTGTGGTGCCTGTGAACAGGGCCAGAATAAGGCTCTGGTATTTTTGGTCTAAAGTTGGATGGACGAAGCAGTTTCTTCACCCCTGGTTCCTGGGTTTCTTGGGAACTGACAGAGAAAGCTTGCTTTTTCCCCCCGTGGTCTGGAGATGGTTCGTTAGAGACAGTTGCTTAATTGCCATGACTCTCTCCTGGCCTAGAGGCTGATGTGCAGTCACTGAACTGCACCTCCCTGCTGTTGCAAGTCCCTGGCGCGTCCTTCGCCCTCTTGCTCCCCTCTGCTGCTGCCTGAGGCAGGGACGTGGTGAAGGGAGGGCTCCCAGCCCCTGCAGTGTCCTGACCCGCGCTCTGTTCTCAATCTGCAGCTACCTCCACTCCTGTGATCCCCCCATCATCCACGGCAACCTGACCTGCGACACCATCTTCATCCAGCACAACGGGCTGATCAAGATCGGGTCAGGTGAGGCTTGAGGAGGTGTCCCCTGGTGAACAGACAAAGCCATCTGATCCCCTCAGGGCTGTCTGGCACTGGAGGTGTGAACTCGTGTTCCTCCACCCCGTGTCAGTTGTGCTGGAGACCGGGGGCAGCGTTCACTTCGGGCGCAGGGAGGGCTGGTACGGGATAGGGTCCTTAGCCCCTTCCTCAGTCGCTGATCTCGAGGGACTGACCGAGAAATGGGGGTGAAACCGTCAGGTTTTGTACGGGTGTTATCTGTGGCTGTCGTTTCCATGTTAATACACACGGGGTTCCCTTCCCAGCGCTGCGGAGCTTTGGGGTTTGTGTCCACTGAGGCCACACGAGTGCTTCTTGTAGCAGCCAGCATTTACAGTCAGGGTTACGGGCTCTGGCTGCGCCCAGCTGCTTGTCTTGGCATCCTCACCAGCATCACTCGCCTGGGCCTGGGTTTCGGGACGCCTTGGGCCTGTTTGGCAAAGGCTTGCCCTGCTCAGACAGCCACCCTGTGCCGAAATGCTTCATTCCATCAGAGGGGATTTTTCTGGCAGGGCAGCACAGCGCTCTGGTTTTCACCTTTGCTATTCCTGTGTGTCAGTCTGTCTGCGGTCAGGATGCGTTATGTACCTTGACAAAACCTTTCGAGTGACAGCTTTGCTGTCTGCCATCCAACTTCTGAAGTGTCCTCGAACCAGAGGAGCGCGCACTTGCTGTCCTGTAGGCTTTTGTCTGAGGATTCTTGGTCTGAAGTTGGCAGCGCACAGCAAAGAGCGCTCTGCTTCGCCTGTCATCTGAAATTATCCTCTTTGTAAACCACAGACCTCTGGCTTTCCTTCCCATCACAGAGCTCTTGCGCTGTCTCTGTTCCAGCATCGGGGTCTCTCCTCCGTAACAGACCTCTGGTGCACGCAGGGAGGCCGGGTCACAGCAGAAGGGACACTGGGTTCCCCCTGTGCCTCTGAACTCGGTGACTTGCTCTTCATACAGGTTAATGCCATCACGGGCTTTGCTCTGTTGCCTTGCCCTGACTGTGTCCAGGTGGGAGAAACTTCCAGGAGGTGTGCACATCTGGTACCCGTACGCTGGCAAATGCAGCGGGCTCCTGGCAGTGAATTCAGGCCCTTAGGGGAAGTCTGACGTGGGCACGAGTTCGTAGGGGACGCTTCTCTTGCCAGCGCAGTTCAGAAGCGTGGCACGGCCGCGGTCTCTCTGACTGATCGACCAACGTGAGGGTGGCATCTGGAGCTGTGGTGCTGCACCAGAGGAGCTCCTGCAGATCCGCAGATACCAGCACCGTTCTGGAGAGCGTTCACGCTCCCGGGGTGCCCTTTGGAGGCTGTTGAGTAGAAAGGGGCTTTGGGTGGGTCACAGACTGCCTCAGCTGAGTCACACCGCTGCCTGCTCCCTGCTTCCGCTGAGCTTTGCTGCTGCTCGCTGTGATGGCAGGGACAGCGCGGTCCTGCCCCCTGTCCCAGGCCCATGAGCTCTGTTAGAGCAGGGGGTGTCTGTGAGCCCAAACAGCTCCCTCAGCGTGAGGAGTGCAGGACAGGACATGTGCTGGGAGCATGGCTGTGCTCAGCAGAGCTGCACTGCCCTTGTTCTGACCAAGCTTTCTTCTGCTCCACGGCTGCAGGCTGCCCTGCTCGCCCTGCATTCAGAAATGGTTCATCTGGTCCTTTCTTAAACAAAAGGGGAAGTGAGCGCAAGTGGTCGAAGAGGAATCCTCCGGACGCGAGAGCTGCGGCTGCAGCGCGGGCTGGGGTTGAAGCTGCTGATGCTGCAGAACGCGTTGGTGTTCCTGCAGCGCCCACCCCACCAGGAAGGTCAAAGCGGCGTCACCGGGGCTGGTGGCGGCGCTGGAGGCTGAGGTTCCCGGGCGCTGCTGACGCTGCAGCAGGCAGGGGCTGTGTTCGTGGCTGGGCCCTGGGGCAGCAGTGGCTCTGGGTCACCGGTGGTGCTGAGCCTGTGGTTATTGCTTCGTGCAGGTACTGCTGGCTGGGGGCTGAACGCTCCTGTGCTCACCTAAGGCAGCAGGGCAGCAGTTGCCATGGGTTTAGGGATATCAGCGACTCAGAGCACTGTGGTCTGCTCTGTGGTGCTGCCTCTGTCCCCAGCACCCATCTGGGCTCCTGGAAGCTCCTCTTCTCCCTGCTTCAGGAAAAGCAAATATTCACTGAATGGTCAAAAATGTGGCAAAGGAAGCAGCCGGTGTGCACTACAGAGCATCCCTGTGCCTGCCAGGTGAGGAGGAGCAGCGCCTGCGCCGTGTGCGGTGTGAGCTGCCCTCATGCCCATCGCCCCTCGCTGCTGGCGGGGCTGACCACTGCCCTTCTTGGCCTGCGTGCCACTGGATCAGCCCCTTTTTGCAGCCACCTGCACGCTGCAGCAGGGAACGGGACGGGTTTAGCGTTGAGGCGTTGCTGATGCTGTTGCCTTTATTTTTGGGAAGAGGGATGGAGTCTTCGTGAGCTGGGGGTCGTCTGCGGAAGAAATCAAAGTGGGAGAGAGGGAGGATTTCTCGTGCTGCTTAAATGCAAAAGCCATCCATAGTCCGTTAATTTACTAACCTTTTTGTTTTTCTTTTTTCAGTGCCATAAAGTGCAGGGTTAATAGATTTAAGGAGGAGAAGTGTCAAATGAGTGGGGAGCTCTGGAGAACTTGTGAGGAGGATAAGGAGACGCCACAGTTCCTAAACTCAGCCCTGGGGTTCTCCAGCTGTGGAGCTGTGCTCACATGGAGACGTTTCTCCTGAGAGGGCCCCGTTGTTTTCTGGGTGCAGCTCCCCAGGACCCACTCGCAGCTGCACCGCGTTTGTCTGTGTTGCCTGAGCAGCGGCCTGTGTGGGAGCGTGTCGCAAGATGTTTTGCTGTGGCGGGTGGCAGGCGCTGTGGGTGCGAAGGAGCTCGGGGCGTTTGGGTGCTCGGTGTGGCTGCTGCTGTGAAGCAATGCTGGGAGGTGTTTCCTGTAGCTGGGAGTGCCAGAACCGGTCGTGGGTGGAGGGAGGGGATGGGTTTGAGGTAAAGCCCCTTTGGGGCAGGTGTGGAGTAGTGCCCCAGCAGAGCCTCAGAATCCCAGGATGTCAGGAGTTGAAGGGACCTGGAAAGCTCCCCCAGAGCAGGATCACCAGAGCAGTCACACAGGAACACCTCAGGGCTTTGGGTGTCTCCACACAAGGAGACTCCACAACCTCTCTGGGCAGCCTGGGCCATGCTCCAGAACCCTCACACTCACAAACTTTGGCCTCATCTCCAGCTTGAACCTCCTGTGCTCCAGCTTGGGACCATTGCCCCTTGTCCTGGCATTGGCCATCCCAGAGCAGAGCCTGGCTCCTTCCTCCTGACACTGCCCTTTCCCAATGGATCCCCAGGAATGAGGGCACCCCTCAGGCTCCTCTGCTCCAAGCTCAAGAGCCCCAGCTCCCTCAGCCGCTCCTCACCAGGAGATGCTCCACAGTGTTTTCTTCTCCAAGTGATAGCACTTGTATGGTGAGGAAACATGGCAAGGCCACTGTCTCACCATGGGTGCCGGATCCACACCTCATCTCTGTGGCCCTGCTGGACTCTTTCAAGCAGTTCCTGTCCTTCTTGAGCTGAGGGCCCAGCACTGGACACAAGATTGCAGCTGTGGTGTGAGCAGGGCAGAGCAGAGGGGCAGGAGAACCTCTCTGCCCTACAACCACCCCTTCTCATACACCCCACGATGGCGTTGGCCTTCTTGGCTCAAGGGCACATTGCTGGCTCATGGGCATTGCTGCCACCAACACCCCAGGTCCTTTCCAGCCACTCGTCCCCTGCAGCGTCCATGGGGTTGTTGAGCCCCAAGAGCAGGAACCGGCCCTTGGCCTTGTTGAAGCTCATCCCATTGGCCTCAGCCCATGGATTCAGCCCATCCAGGTCCCTCTGCAGAGCCTTCCTACCTTCAGCAGATCAACACTCCCTCCCAACTCAGTGTCATCTGCAAACTGACTGGGACTGGGGGTCTCCCCCTGTCTCTGTGCCCTGGGACGCAGCTGTGCATCAGCCCAACGAGCAGAGCAGGGAGGTCAGTGCTGTCCCAGTGCATCTCCAAGCAGCACCCCCCAGCATTCGGCTGCTGCTCTCCTGTCCCCAGCACCCCAACCTCTAGGATCCATTCTGTGTTTCCCCATGGTCTGTCCAGGGCTCTCCTGTTCCAGGCCCAGGTGCCAAGAGGCTGAGCTTTACATGGCATTGACTGCTGGTAAATGTTGTGTAGGTGTGGGTGCTGCTGCTGGGATCCGTGCCCGGGGATGCTGCTGTGGGCTGAGGGGTGCTCGGGGCTGCACACTGCTACAAGCACAGGTTCCCAGCTGCTCAGCCGCAGTCGGCCGTGCTCCCTTGCCCAGCCTGGTTCTCAGTTAGAAACACAGTTAGAAACAGTGATGTTCCTTACGTAAAGGTGTTCAAAGGGTGGCTGGAGGCAGGGCCCGGTTCTCGGTCGTGTCCGTGTTCTGCCGTGACGTGACCTCGCTGTCTATCGATGTGAAGTGCTTGCTGTTTCATCAACTCATTGACTTCTATCTCGTTTTACTTCCCGCTTACGGGCTGCTCTGTTACCAACAGTCTTTCATAGGATATTTGCTAATGGTGAGCAAACTTCTCCGCTCCTGTGCTGTGACTACCACTATGTGTAATGTACATTACCCGTGTGTGTATGTGTATATATTTATATATATATGTGTGTGTGTGTGTCCGCAGCACACACAGACATACACACCGATCTGTTCCCACGTGTTCCCTTGCTATAAGGCTGCTGCGTGAAGCTGCTCGGCGTGGGTGCGCCCTCCTCTGAGCCCCGTTCTGAGCGGGGCCCTGGCCCGAGCCTTACAGAGAGGGAGCACGGCCCCTGTGAAGTGCCCTGGTTGTTGGTCCTCGTGCTCCCCGTCCCTAGAGCGTGCTCGTCCCCGACCCCGCTGCATGCCGGCCCCGCATGTCGCGCCCGGCG